AAAGTCGAAAAACCTCGGTTTTTGTATAATCTGGTGGGGTGTAAGTGTGAGTTGATTTTATGAGGGGATTTTAAAATTATAATTGGTTTAAATTGCCCTAAAAATAAGTATCTCATTTGTTTACAATATAATTTGTAAGGAAATAAGCGTATACTTGGATACGTGTAAATTTGCCGGTTTGCATAAAAACGTAAGAAATCAACAAAATAATTATGTTTATTTTTAAACTTTCATTTAGGACAACAGAAAAAGCCAAAAAACCTTGGTTTTTGTATATACATAATTCTTACGTTTGTATGCAAAAGTATATATACTCATAACTGGAAAGCGAAAATGAAAAGGCGTAAATGGATATAGAATGAATCGGCTAATTATCGTTGATATTTGTCTGCTATTTTCACTCGATTACGTGGCTGTGCGTGTGTTTCGCTGTCTGATTTATGACCGATATTGCGTATACACATCAACACACACCCTCGAGCAAAAGTAACATGCCCAATATGATAGTTAATTAGCCAAAACGTTATATGCTTTTTCCTCGCTGCCGTTTAGTTATGAGTGTACATGAAACGTAGGAAGATAGAGTCTGGTCCTCTTCTTGACATGATTTTAACTTGTGTTTCTTTTACGAGAATAACTTGCAGCTGTGATGATTTACATCATTTTTTGGACGAAACGGAGGATGATGTCTCGCGAACTGCGTCATCCTGGACGTTGTAGTTAGGCGAAACGGCTACAGAACAGCTGAAATGAGCCGTCGTCATCTGTTTAGACCAACCTAAAAATATCTTATTCATGCACTTGACTACGAAATGAAGGTCCAACCAACGGTTCATTGAAACCCAGTTATTCTCAGTATCTACAAAATCCAGACTCTTGGGAGAAATTGCAACAAATGGACACTATTTAGGCAGCCTTCTCTTGTCACCTATTCGAGGATTTACTTCCAGTCATGAACTGCAAAAATGGGAAAGTTCCGCATCTGCTTGCGTGCAAGTTGGTTCTGAGGTCCTCCGCTGGAAGGTGAAAATGTTTTCGCGCAAATAGCATCTACCAAAAGTCGACCGAGCAGCCCGACTTGTATGTGCCCAGGCATGTTGGAATGTAGCCGAGTCGGCAAGAAATGATGTCTACCAGAGGCACTCACGTATCGTTTGAGCTGCGTCCATATCCGCTGACTCCAGAGGCGCTGCTGCCGGCCGAGATTGGCGAACCGACCCAGCAACTCGCGCAAATCGGCCTGGGCCGCCAACAAGTCTTGTTGCCCGACCAGGCTCCACGCCTCGATCAGCTGTTCAGCCGCGAACTGCAGCGCCAACGACGGGCCGACAGTCTCGGTGGAGACGACGCTTCTGCCGATTGTCGTCTCGGCCGGCCCAGTGGCGCATTCCGGCCGGCCTGACGACAGGCAGTCAACGGCCTTCTCATCTTCTGACTTTGCCAGCGTCGACGGCTTCGGCGGCGTCGCGATTGTCGTTTCTGTCGCGACCGTCGCGACCGTCGGAGTGGCTGGTGGCGTTGACGCGATGGCGACGGCGACGGCGACGACGACGGCGAGGCTGGAGGAGGAGCGGACGAGATGGGGCAAGCGGCCAAGTCGCACGGGCAGGGGCCCGACGTCGACGTCGGCGGGGGCACAGGACATACGGACCGGCGAGAACTGGTGCTCGGACTTGTCGTCTGGTCGGTGCAAATCGAAAGATGCAAGAAGGCGTTTCTGTGAAATGGCAACCGAGCTCATCAACCGATGATGCGGCTTATGCTGATTGACAAGAAAGTCTCGACTTTGCCTCAAAATGGCATAATCTGGCGAGCAGGACTCGTCGATTGGCCTCGCCGGAAACCGAAGAAGGCTTGACGCAACCAAATCCTTCCCCACTACATAATTTCTCGTTCTGAAGAAAGCAAAGAAAGCAAAGACTCTCTCTTCCTTCTACGCCACAGTCGTCTGTCGATTTCCATTTGGGCCAACTTTCGAATTCCATCTCTAACCAACCGCTCTTTTTAAAGAATAGAGATTCTTCAAAAGCTAGCTTTTCTACTTATTTTTTGTGATTTAAGGACGGCTTAGGAGGCAATTTCAAATAACCCAGCCTCACCGGGTCCTATGGCAACATCCCAAGCAACTCTTATCTGAGTCATAAGCACCGTGGTGCTACTCAACCCCGAGACCAACCGGGTCACAGAATACATGTGGCTTTAATGGAACAAACCACATTTTTTGTGGAATTTTCGATGATGTATATGCTTCTACATGATAATCCCACACACATTTTGGAAGGACCTGGCTTGCTCGGAAAGGTACAGCTACCTTGCGACTGTGTAGTGGAACGGTGCCTACGACTTGGTTTCAAATCCCGTTGGAGATGCAGATAAAAAAGTTGTAAGGTCAGGCCGGGAAAGGAAAACCGTTTTGGGAACAAAAATGAGTTAACTTCAAATGGTATCTTGAAAATTACTTGCATTATTGTGGGGAAATTCGACTATCAGACTTTATATCGGATTAAGCGAACAAGAGGGGCTAGAATGCTATGCTCTATTGAGTGCATGAGAGGCTCGATGGTCACTTTGTTTCAGTGCTCTCAGGTGGGTTTCAGTAAGATAAGCAGACTCGCGACAGACAATCTTTGATATAAGTAACCTTTAAGACTACCAATTACTTGCTTAAGCTGCCTTTCTGACTGACAGTTGGATGCTTGCATATCAAGATGTTGTTAAATTGCTCCTAATCTTGCCTCTAAAAATCTATCTCATCCAGGATAGACGGCAGTCTCGACCTCGCCTGGGACTTATCATAATTCCCAATGAGATTAGATACCTTGTTGTAGGTATCGAGATAGAAAGATGGAGAGATAGATACAATGAAATAAATAAATAAATAAATACGTGTATATATATATATATATATGAATATACGTATAGATAGATGAATGGATACATAGATATGTAAATTGGTAGATAGGTCGATAGGTAAGAATAGTTAGGTAAATAGATAGAAAGATGTGTATGCAGGTAGATAGATTGATTTATTAACGGATTAATAGATTAATAAATTGATATGTTGATAGATAGATAGATGTGTAGGTCGGCAGGTAGATGGATGGATATTTATATATATAGGTTAGCAGAAAGATAGATGGATAGATAAATGAATGGTTAAATAGATAGATAGATAAATAAATAGATAGGTAGATAGATAGATAGGTAGGTAGTTAGAGAGAAATTGATAGATTGACAAACTGATTAATTGATTTATAGATAGATAGTAAGATGGATAGATAGAAAGATAGATAGAAAGATAGATAGGTAGATAGGTAGATAGATAGATAGATAGATAGATAGATAGATAGATAGATAGATAGATAG